AAATATTGATACACGACGTGTACTATCTACCTGCATAATGCAGGTACTTAGCAGCCAATGCGGCGAATAAAATTGTAACATATAATTGTAATAATAACAGTTACGGTGTAGTTTTTGAAATATGAGAATTATTTTGATACACTATGGTACGATACAGTATTTTTCGACGAAAATTTGATTTGGTTCAACGTCGTATCTGTAGTTACTCTGTTATTCTACAAATAATTTAATTTTTTTTATATTTACAGTATTATTCCATTCGTAATCTTTCTTATTAACGCAGTTACAGCCACACCGACTATGTTGGCAGATAGAGCGTAAAAAGTTATCCAAGAAGAACACTGTAACTCAAAATCGCAAAAAATGTTAGTTACAACGTTATTCTATGAGGGGGTCGAAATGATCCAGATAAAAAGTAAACTAGTTCAATGATACTTTGAGAGAAATGCATGAGTGACTTACATTTCTGACAGCATTAAATAAAAATGATTACTGTACCTAAAAGTACATTATTGTAAAACGGTAAATAGTAAAAATCGTTCAACGTTTATTTATTTAATACTTTAATAGAAACTTAATTGCATTAAATTTAATTGCAGCAAAATCCAAAAATTGCATAGGAAAGCTGCTCTTTTTAACTTTCAAAACATATTTTGATTTTTGTCGATAGGACGCTTTTGACAAATTGATTTGGCGCATGTACCTGACATATGAAATCACCGGTCGCTTCAAACGTTGTTGTTAAGAGAACGGTTCATTCTACAGAAAAAGTGAAAAAAATATTTTTGTTCAAAATTTTCCCAGCCACATTTTTCATTTGAAATATTTTTTCTACGGCTTACAGATTCTTCTTAAATCGACTTTATCCATTTTTCCTCCTAACTGAAGAAATGTGGAGAGTAAAAACAAAATTTTTTGCATCTTTTTTAAGGTCAATAAATTGACATTCTCAGCAAAATTTAACTTTTTCGTATGATTTTTAAAAGTTCAGTGGCATTTTCGTCTCTAACAATGGTAGTAGATAATATCAGCCATAAAAATCTAACAACAAATGTGTTTTATAATTTGTAGCAGTAATAACTACAGCTTGACATTGCCTTAGCTTGCTTAAAATTAAATTAATTATTATTCTTACGAAAGAAGATTTTGAAGACCTTGTCTAGTATGATGGTATGAACATTGTGCACATTAGGAATAATCCGTCTCTGAGGCATATCCCATACAAGCTCGATGGGATTAAGATCTGGCGATTGCACTGGCTTGAACATTCCCATTATGAATCCAAGCTCCTACTGTTGTTGCAGTATGTGGCCTTGCAATATCCTGTATGTAACGCAAATCAGGTTATGCAGCAGTGGTAAATAGGAGAACAGCAGAAGATACGATCAATGTATTGGTATTGATTAAACGTGCATTTCGTAAAAATGAGAGCAATTCAATGGCGAAAAATTATCCTAGTCCACATCAAAACTTATTGATCATTATATGAACGAACACCCTATATATGCCTGAGTCTCCCTTATAGATCAGTTTCTCTCTATGTCATCGAAATTGTTCATATAGTCGCCTCAATCGCTCCGTGACACGTCAAAATGACGTGCAACATCAGCTTGTGAAAGACCATCCTTAAAAATATTCACAGTACTTAGGTATTATTTGAACATATTTTAAATGCCGAGGCTGGATATTGCAGACTTTCCTTAAAAATTGAAGCATTTTTGTTTACAATTGAAAGCAATTTCATAAAAAGCAATAGCACAGATTGTGCCATTGACAGATTAATTTTCTTGGCATACGTTGGGTTTGCATCTAAATGTTTCCAAAACTAAAATTCTAGTATTTTCAAAGATACCAACAAACGTAAATTTCTCCGACAAGGGACTAATAAAAACATTTTTTACAAAATCAGACCTTAGTCTAGAGCCAGAATTCGAATGATCAGATGTTATGTTTTCTCTATTTTGCTGTATGGCTATGAAAGTTTGACAATGGACTCAAAAACAGAACAGAGAATAGATGCCTTCGATACAGAAGGATGCTGAGAATTCCATGGTTACAAAAAGTTACCAAAGGTGAGGTATTCGATGTATAAGTAAACAAAATGAATTACTTAGCATAATCAAAAAGAGAAAAATATATTACTTTTCATTATGTCATATTTGAAGGTAAAGTGCGGGGCAAAAGATTAGTTGGAAGACGCCACAACTCGTGGCTGAGAGACCTGAGGAGATGGTTTGACCGCTCATCCACAGACATCTTTCGTGCATCAGCTTCCAAAGCTACAATTGCCATTTGGTTCGCTAACCTTCGAAGGTAGACGGTGCAATAAGAAGAAAAACGTTGATTTGTAGAGAACAACTTTATAAATCGAACGGTACGCATTAACAAAAAAGTGTTTAAATTGTTATTGAAAAAAGTGGAATAATAGTGGTGTTCCTTAAACATTTTTGATGTGTGTACATACATAAATACAGACATACATACCCTCTTCGAAAAGCATTACCCTCCCGATGGTTTGGTCGGGTAAAAAATATGTCATTTTTTATATGAAGACTACAGGGAAAAACCAGATATGTCAAAATTGCATAAAACCAAGAAAAACGCATATTTAACTTTCAAAACCATAATGTGTCTTATGTTGGAACGTATAAAAAAACTCGGAGGGTCAAAATTGCTTCATAAAAACACATGAATGGCATTGTACTGTTTTTATTCAAAAAAAAAATGTGTTACATTCTTTAAAAATCCAGAAAATTCTTGTTAACCGCAATTTGTCCATTGAAAGAACCAGCTTAGTCATCTGAAACAGAAAATTATCAATACTTTCAATAATGAAAATAGCTTTCATTTTGATTAGTATTTCTTTTGTGAATAATAAGTAATAATAAATACAGTAGAACCTGTCAATAACGGTCACTAAAAATGACAGAACTATTGGCCGATATAAAAAGGTGGCCGCTAATTTATTGGCTAATTAATTGGCCTTATTTTACACACTATCAGTTTTATTGAAATCATACAAAACCTGCTTACCAGTTAGACCTACAAATTTTGGGTTGGGAACTTTAAAACTGGCAAGCTAGTTCAAGTGGCCGGTTTTGACAGGTGGCCGTTAACACAGGTTTTAAGGTCGCTTTACATTTACGAGTACTCGGATCCGAGTAGCTCGGATTTGAGTTACGAGTGGAACTGCGATCGTTTACATTAAATCCGAGCGATCAGAGTGGTTTCAAAGAGAATTTATGGCGCCATCAAGAAAGAAACGAGCTACTGTTGCATTAGTGTTATAAAATATTTTAAAGGAGAAAAATAACGACAAAAAATTAAGACAAATAAAAGCATTTGGGTGAAACAACATTTACAAGAGGTTTGTTAAAGTTAATGATTACCTAATTTAATTTAATTTAATTTAAAGCATTATTTCCTTTGATAATGTCCCGATACTCCTTTAGTTTCACATTCCATAAACATTCAAAAGAACGATAAAGATCGATAAATTGATCCATTTGATCTGCAGAAAATCTTAGTTCCGCCATTTTTAATTTGGAATTTCCACCACTTTGACGCTCACTCGTACAGGAACTCATACTGCTACTCGGTTTGTGTTCAACTTCAATCCGAGCTCGGATCCGAGTGACAACAGGCTCCGAGTAGAAGTTTATACTTCCGAGTTGCACTCCGAGTAGAATAACTCGGATCCGAGTACTCGTAAATGTAAAGCGGACTTTACTGTAACACGGCTCAAGATCCCTACCTCTCGTTGGAACACCAGGGCATTCGTCAAAATTTTCCGTTGGTGGAAACGTGCTCCGGTCGTCGGTGATGAGTCTTATCGCAGAAGTAGATCGACGCCGACGTTAAATAAAGAAATAGTGATTATAAAGTAAGACGGGGAAAAATTCCACAGCTGCAGGACCACAGAATCTCATAAAGCTCATTAAATCGCTGTGATTGGCTTTTGAAATTGCGAGGGGCCCTTAAAAAATAACATATTATAGTTTCTTGTGATACCTTATACCTTACCTAAGTAGGTTGGTAATGGTAATTCAAATTCTCCATTCTTCAACTCCGTAGTTGGTCACTCGTTTCTTCAAGATGCTTAACAAGAATGGTCCATTGTAAGAAGATCGATGATTTATGAGTCGACTGTGCTCTGATGTAGCACCAACCTCTTTCAAGACCCGAATTTTGAAAGGACATTTTGGAACATACTTCTTGTCCAAAAATGATTTCCAGTCCAAAACTATTTTTCGTGTTACTTTCACGACGATAAAAGGAGACGGATTTACGCTGGACGCCCTGATCATGTCTCTAAACTCTTTTGGTACTTCAAAAGACGTTTTTAGATTCCACAGTAATTTTTGTTTCACGAAGCCCATGGATTTTGTGGTTCACGATATAATGTATGAATCGGAATATTGTAAAATTTTTGTTTTGTCTTTTAGCTGAGTCACAAAAAATTTTTTACTTCTCAATATCATCATCAAAAAAGTTAATAATAAAATGTAATAAAAACAATGCTACCTCATTGGAACCTTTTTTGTCAATTCCCTCGTGGTAAGAGTAAAAAATTAATTGACCAGACGACAAGACGTGAACATTAAAAGTGTACATTGATAGCTGGCGTTTATAGTAACATTGTTTGTCGCAATATTTGGGATTTGTACATTATTTACAAAATCAATAAAAATTGCTTCCATTTTTTTTTTGTTCCTCTGCTGGTTCTTCTTGCTTCTCTTCTTCGTGAATAGAATGCCTCAGCCTTTTAGTAGTATCAGTGCGCAGATATCCGAAAGATATGTTAAACACCTTTACAAAAATACACCCATACGTTTTGTACGATACATAAACATTTGGATTTTTTTCTTGAAATAGAGAATACATTTTTTTACATTCAGTTTTATGAAATAACCGTTTTAGAAATGCGAACTTTTTCTATATGCCTGTATATATTTTTACAAGAAATATAACGAGTATTTCTATTATGTTATGTTATATCAATGCATAGGTAAATATCTTGTTGAACCTTTGATCATTCAGAAAAATAATGATATTCGATATTCACAAATGTTTGTTCTTACAAAAAAAACTTTCTATTATTGAAACACGTATTGTTTAATAATAATTTTTAAATTAATCCACCGCTGTCTACCGTGAAACTTGTGACATATCTGGTTCTTTCACTGGACGAATGGACAAAGCTGGTTTTTTCCCGGCACCCCAAAACTTTGAAGTATTATTACGCATGACAAGACTACTTTTTGCCCTGTAGATAGAATAGAAATCTGAAATTTGAAAAAAAATGACATGTCTGGTTTTTTCCCTGTAGTCTTATAAGTATTTTCTTTCCGGACAGGGGACCCCGCTGCCGGCGCCCATAAATAACACCATTTACTGCGAATAAAAAGTCCGTCTCAAACATTTCACTACTTATTTTTTTTATTTTTATCATAAACTCCTCGCTCCCCTACATACAAACGTTGAATCAAAATATTGTCTAAATGAGAGCGTACAACTTTTTTGTAAATCACTTTTTCCGAATTTACTACAAAAAGAAAACATCAATAAATAATATTTAACTAAAGCAGTAATAATAAATCCTAATTATATTTACTTTTTTTATAAATTCCCGTATTAGTCATACAATAGCGACAATCAGTTAAAACATATCGACAATTTTTGGCGTTATCCGCATCTCGCACAAAAACAATATAACAAGCCAAATAACAAAACCATAATTTACATTTTGGTAAATGAGCTAATAAATGGTTATGAACCATAAAATGTTTTCACTAGAATATAATGACTAGTAGGTACTAACGGTGTTTACCAAAGTTACTGTTTTCGAAATGATAACATAAATTTCGTTTAACTACATCAGCCATATTAAATGAATCTTACTCAAATAAAGCAATTTATTACTAAATACGAGAGATTATTTTATTGGTCGACCCTCCAACGGTGGACTCGTCCCCAATTGGTTTCAGTGTAAACCTCTGAAAACGACAGGCGTTAACGAGGGGGCTTGGCTCGAATTGCCATTGTTCTGCTGCGGCCAATCGCCGGCCGTCAAGGCGTGCACTGTCGGTTTAAACCCACTAAAGGAAAGAGAAGATCAGTTCAAACAGTTGTTTAGCAGAAAGCAGAAGAGTTGTCAGTTGCTGTGTTTGTTCAGTGAGTTAGTAAGTGATATTTGAAAATGCCTAGGCCGTCTAGGGACTCCTATGGCGACCAGAAGCCACCGTACTCTTATATATCGTTAACTGCGATGGCTATATGGAATTCACCGGAAAAAATGCTACCCTTATCTGAAATTTATAAATTTATCACGGACAGATTTCCATATTACAGAAAAAATACACAGCGGTGGCAAAATTCCTTAAGGCACAACTTATCTTTTAACGACTGCTTTATTAAAATTCCTAGACAACCCGACAGACCTGGCAAAGGAGCATATTGGGCATTACATCCTGCTGCTTTTGACATGTTCGTGAATGGAAGCTTGCTACGGCGAAGAAAGCGCTTCAAGTTGTTAAAAAGTGACAAGGAAATATTGGAAAATGAGCTAGCAGCCCTTACAAATATAAATAGGATATTTTTCTCGCCCCCGAATGCTCCCGTGGACGTAAATCCTGCGGCTCATCCGACGGTAGTAGCTCCACAACCTTCGCCGCCGATTATTACGAAGACTCCTGAAACTGCCGTCACGTGCATAAGGCCGAAAAGGTCCTTTACTATAGAAAGCTTAATCTCTCCAGACAAACCGACGCCAGTGGTTCCTAGTGCTACACACATCGTACCCCACGTTCATCCCTGGATGTTATCGACGTACGACTTATCGTTTACTAATCCAATCCCCCTAATGCCCCCTTCTGCAGCTCATTACGAGGCTTATGGACTTGCTTCTGCTGAAGAACTATTTAGAGTTTCACAGTTATAAGAATTTAAGTGATGTTGTATAGAAGAGTTTAGAAGATATTTGGAAGGAAGCTGTAACTCTGTGGGAGTTCTAAGACTGAGTTGACTGTTGTAAAAGTACGTACTTTTGTTGTGATCTTTTTTGTATAAGTATTTATTTTGTTGGTATTATAAATGATATTAAATTACAATAATTGTTTTTGTTATATACATTTCTTCATCGTGCAATACAACATATTTACAAAAAAAAAATAAAAATTTCTCGTTGGTGCATTTTATATTAGATTTTTTCCTTACAAAAACAGATTTTTATTGAAAGTTAAAAGAAATTATGTCTAAATTTATAATATAATAATTCAGTATTTTAAGAATCGATTTCTTATGAATATTTTACTTTCATCATTGTCTAATAGACATCTGTAAATGCCATTTAAATATTTATAAAATGAATAATAACAGATTTATTAAATAAATTTGAATATTCAATAAGAATTTATGATAGTTAATTGACGTTATATTAAAAATATTATAGTAGCTGCCAAACTTAACGGTCTATTAGTTAAGTTAATGTTAACGAATTAATTGTAAAAGGAAAACGAATTAAGCATTATGTATTCAAAAATAAATTTCTTAACTATTTTAATATATAAGCGCCGGAAAAAATAAATAAATGAGGTAATTTTAAGATCATTGAATATATATTTCTACTCTTATTTTGACAAAGTACCTATTATGTGCGATATTATTATTAGCATTAACAATACGAGCCCTAACAACTAAATGTTGGAATAAGCAGTTATTTTGCAAATAAAATACCAATATTTTTAAATTCTTTTGTATTAAGTTTTTTAATTGTAAATATGAAATTAACAACATTTTTTATGATATATGGAATTATTTTTACAGTTTAATTATGTAATTTTTATTGATTACTATTTAATTAGTTGTTTGATAACCAAATATGCTGCCAACTAAATATTGGATCAAGAGGATGTTAACATATTAAAATAAATATTATTAATTTGTAACGTCGCCTTTAGATTGAAAACAGCCTGAACTCTATTAGGGATTGTACCAACTAGGCCTTCACAGAATTCAGGAGTGAAACTATCTCATATTTCTTGTAATTTAGCACGTAGTTATGGCAAAGTACGCTGATGGTTATTTCTTAGGGGTTTTTTCATTTTGTGTCAAAGTGTCTCTAATGGATTAAGATTCGGCCTGCTAGAATGATGTGACAAAACTTTAATGTCATGTTATCCCAACCATATTTGGTAGATTTAGTCGTATGGTGGTACAAAGCTCCGTCCTGTTGAAAGATAAAATCTCCGAATACATATAACTATGCCGCACTTGGTAGAGGCCAATATTTAGGGATATATTGATATTTAGCTGCGTTTACTATGGCCTCAATAAAATATAATATTCCCAACTCTTTTGCCCACACACAACCAAACCATGATGCCCTGCGAAAACTTTACAGTTCTTTAGAGGAAATCCTTATGAAATGCTTCTCGCATTACACTTTTTGCCGAATCACACGCTTTCAATAATCTCCCACACTGACATCAAATTTGCTTTCGTCGCTAAAGATAGCTTTGTCCCAGTTATGTTTGGTCCGCGAAAGTTTTGATTTAGCCCAAATGTAACGATTCCTTTTTTAACTTTCAGTCAGCAATGGCATTTCTTTGGCCTACTCAAATAAATCAAAAAACAGAAAATTTATATTGCAAAGAAGAACCTATCAAACATACCTTATAAAAACTAAGACCGGTTTTGTGGATATATTTGCAACAGGATTCTCTGGAAACATTCATCCAAGTTTCTCTATTCCTTCTAACGGGTACTTCTCGTACTGTATTTCTTCTTCCCGACTTGCATATTCGAATTAAATGCATTATTTTCCTTTGAGAAACAGCTTTTGGAGGGCCTGAGCTTTTTCTGTAAACATCAATACTGAAGGTTTCACAATATTTATTAAGTAGGGTTTTCACGTTCCATTATTATATTTTACTTGTAATAAAACTGACAATTACCTTTATTCATACTCAAATGAGCCACGGCAATTATTGTTGACAACGCACTACCTACTCGTTTGTTTGATTTCAAAGCCTTCTTTGTGTCAGGCTGATAAAATTTAAGAAACGTGAGGAAAAGCAAAAAATGTTCCAACATTTAGTTGTCAGCAGTTTTCGATTATCAAACAATTAATTACATAGTATTCAATATAAAATATATAATTAAGCCGTAAGATTAATTCCATACATCATAAAAAATGTTGTTAATTTCATATTTAGAATTTAAAAAAATTTAAATAAGAGAATTTCGGTAAATTGGCATTATATTCTCAAAATGACTGCTTGCTCCAACATATAGTTATTAGGGCTAGTAAATAGCATATTGTTTTGTTACTAGAAAAAATGCCAATAGAACATACTATTTTGTTTCAAACCTCGCAAATAATTTTTATGTTTGTGTTTATTGTAGCCCAAAAGTACGAGTATTATGTCTGATTCCGAAGATCCCAGGGTATCGCGTATTTCTCCAGATATTTTGTGTAATGCAAAGACTGTAATCGAAGGATTGTTTTTTTTTATTTACAAACTCGCATCAGCGTTTAAGGCTATTAGTGAAAAAAGAAAAAACATTAACAATAATTGGATAGCGTTACAACTAAATTTTGTATAAATAGTTTATTGCTTTTAAATATTGTATTATCAGTTTGGCACCGCACTTTAAGAATAGTTCTTTCAAATTCTCCGGGATTCCGAATTTACATCTTTCCGCACTGTGTAACGGGCACTCCACTAGAAGGTGTTTTACTGGTAACGGGGTCTCGCAAGCATAACACTCCGATTGGGGATCCCTTGTACTCAGATGTCCATGCGTAAGGCGACTATAACCAAGCCGAAGTCGTGCGATGACAACCTAAGTAAAACGATTGGTGGAACTATCAGACCATGGTTGAAACATTGGTTTTATCTCAAGTAATTTTGCCTGTTTTTTATGCGATCTGCTATTCCATATGTTGACTATTTTTCTGTGGAAATATGATTTGAGGTCTGTCGCTGGAGTTTTTGGATAGAACTCAGTAGTTGTGTCCTCTAAGGCTTCTCGTGCATATTTATCTGCCAGCTCATTTCCCGTGATTCCAATATGAGATGGCACCCACAGGAAAGCAATGTTTCTGTGATTGAGGTTGTGCAGTTCTTGTCTAATGAGTTTGGCCACAGGATGGGAAGAATAGATTTTTGAGATGATTTCTAGAGAACTTAGTGAGTCAGTAATTATTAAGAAGTTAGTATCAGAACATTTTGTAACATGACATATGGCTTTATATATTGCAAAAAGTTCTTCTGGTAAAATAGTATTAGTCTCCGCTAGTCTATATTTTTTTATTTCATCCTCTGTTACAAAGGCAGATGCTACACAATACCCTGCTCTAGATCCATCTGTGAATAACTGTTTAAAGGAAGAAAATTGAGAAATTAAGGTATGATATTTAGAATTAATTAGATGACGATTGCTTTCTTTCTTATTTTCTGATAATAAATCCAAATTTATGCGATAAGAAGATATTAGCCAAGAAGGGGAGGTTGGCATCTTGCTAGGATAGATTTCGGGGACTTTAGGGTTAAATTCATTTATAATTCGTCTGCATCTTTCGTAAAAGGGAATGTGGGCTTTTGCGTGCTGGATATTCGAGCAGCGAATGGTTTGGTGAAATTGTAAAGAGTACCGCTTTGATGCATATGAGAGCATTAATTCCTGTCTTCTTAAATCTAATGGTAGTTCACCGAGTTCGGCCTGAAGACTTAAGATAGGGGTTGTTCTAAATGCACCGCTTATTATTCTGAGAGCGTTATTTTGAATGGTGTCTAAAACTTTTAGAGTTGTTGTTGAAGCAGACGAATAAGCGTGGTATCCATAATCGATCTTAGAGCGGATTAAATTTTTATATAATGTGATTTGAGTTCTACTGTCCGCTCCCCAGTTCGTATCAGAAAGACATTTCAAGACGTTTAGTCTTTTTTGACATATGGCTGATATATATTTGATGTGGTCCTTCCAGGTTAGAGCTTGATCAAATATTAAACCTAGATATTTAATTGTATTTACATATTCAAGTGTCTTACCCCCAAGTTTTAAAGTAGGTATTTCTTTAATATGTTTTGGTCTCTTTGAGAATATGATGCAGCGAGTTTTAGATGAAGCAAATTAAAAACCACTCCGTTTAGACCATGCTACAAATTTATCGAGTTGATCTTGTAGTAATTTGGCCATACTCTGTATATTGTTTCCATTTAAGAATATTATAAGATCATCCGCGTCGATATAAGGAAAAGCCTCGGGCTGATTACTGAGCCTTGGGGTGTACCATTTTTTTGATATCTCACATTAGATAAAAGACCGTTTACTTTTACATTGAAATTTCTATTTAGGAGAAAATTTTTAATAAAAGAAAGTATATTTCCTTGATAGCCCCATGATTCCAGTGTTGAAATTATCTTGTGATGCCAAGCCATATCAAATGCTTTGTGCAAATCAAAATAAATTGCAATACATTTTTGGTTGTTGTAGAATGCTTTATTATATGTGGTTCTATATCTATTAAATTGTCGGTAGTCGATCTTAAAGGACGAAATCCAGATTGTTCATTAATCAGTTGGTTATTTTCTTCCAGACACCACAATAAACGTTTATTTATAATTTTTTCTAAAAGCTTACACATTACACAAGTTAGAGACACTGGACGAAAAGAAACTATTTTGTTTTGTGGCTTATTAGATTTTAAGATAGGAATAGTTATAGCTGTTTTCCATAAATTGGGAAATTCATGTTTGGTCCATATACGATTATATATTTTTAATAATATTTCTACTGCTTCGTCAGGTAGGTGTTTCAAAAAAGAAGCTGGGATGTCATCGGGGCCAGGAGATGTGTCTTTTAAATGATGTAGCATCTCTCTTAGTTCTCTGATCGTGATAAGTGCATTTATAAGTTCATTATTGTTTACTACGT